CCTTGTTAGGAAGTTTATAACTTTCTGAAACACATTAACTTATAAAGGACACTACTATGCTGTAAGAGTAATAATTCATATTAAAAAATGAAATTCTGGTACATGTCATCAACACAATCCCTGCATTTGCTCATATATTTACATGTATCCAATACATCAAACAGTAACTTCATGAAGTGGCAAGGAATATCTCAGACTGTCCTCAAAATATATTGAATAACCATGATATGCTGCTAAATGTGGACAGCTCTCTATTTAAATCCAAAAAGGGTATGCTGATATCTTCATCTAAGTTCATAGCCTGGCTGCCCAGTCATGACAAGATGAAGTTTCCAAGGAAGATACTAAATTTTCCTTACAAGCTCACAGTTTCACTAACCCTCTCAAAACCACATAAACTTAAACTTGTATGTACATAGGAAAGCTGAGTGAACATCGGCCTTTCACCTGGGCCCAGCTATGAGGCTCGGTTTCCTGCGTTAGCCTCAAGAGGACTTTCACACAGAACCTTTAATTCAATAGATCCTGTTTACCCAATATCCATCTATTATTTAGTGGTCTTGCTGACATTTCCGTGACAAATGCATTTGCTGCAAAATTATTTTGCCTTTTAAATAATCAGCAACTTTATTTTAGTTCACAACAAAGTAAGAAGTCATTTGCCATTCTGTACTTGCACTCAAAATACTTACTCAAAATGTTGCTGTGGTAAGATCAACATAAATGTGATAATTATTCATTTATAATATAAGCAAGGACTTTGCATTGAATAACTATTACTGTGTAACCCAGGAGGTAAATTTCATACCAGCTGCATTCCGCACTATATAGCTAGGTATTTGGTAATGCATGTAACGTGAAAAATAAGCCGGTTTTAAATTTTCTATATAATACTTATAGATTCTGTTCTAGCCACATGTCACCATAATATCAGAGCATCACTACACAGATTTCATTATGAAATTGCTGACATCAGTTTAAATTACAACCTTCTGGAAAACTTGTTTCTATTGGCAGCTTCCTTGTCAGGTACAGCAAATATTTGACAAAACCAACTGCTTCTAGCTTATACAGTACGCAGAAGCATCGCCTATTGAAATCGCCTTAACAAGTAACTGACTTTGCTTTTAGACTTGCACCAAAATATCTACAGAAGTCACTAAGAATCATGCGGACTGTGTATAGACTGACAATTTTTAATATGAGATGAACGTTTTTTTTCTATTGTGCTCATCAGGCAGTATTGTCTGATAAAGGATGCTAAATTATTGCAGCAGTTTTCCAGATGATGCCACACAGGCAGTCTCTCACATAAACAGGGACATCTTCAAAATTCACTACCTATCTCTCATGCAGATTCACAAAGCAGACTTCCTCTCACGTCTGCTATATTTTCTATGTCAGCATTTTGCTGCAGTAAGGTCTAAAGCTTTTGGTCCGCTATAACAACATTTTAAAACTTAATATTAAAACTTTAAGAAGGAAAGCAGCTGTTTCACAGACAACTTTGTTTTGGAAGTCTGCAATTTCTCCCTTTTAATTGGAAGTTGCTGAACTACATTCAGGAGCCACTTATGAACCTACACGCTCCACTGTGAGAGTTTTTGCACTTTCATTTACAGAAAATAAACTACAAGTTTAACAGCTAAAATTCACCTTAGCATGAAACACTACAAAGTATTTTTCTTCTCTAGTTACTGCATTTACAAAATATGTCAAAAAAGCATTAGTAAGACCCAGCTAATTACATACAGTGAAGCTATACAACTAAAACTGTCCCTGAATAAGCACAGCTCCCAGTGTCTTGCAGACGTGCTCAACACTGTGATGACTTCTGAAAGCGACTTTTTGCCTTTTTAAAGAACTGTTTACTAATCTTTGCAAAATGCAGTGTATTTTAAGGCAAAATAAAGCCAGCCTGTATCTGGATAGATAAGGTAAAAAACTCAGAACCATTTACTTAGTGTCATGGTTTAACCCCAGCTGGCAAGTAAGCACCAGACAGCTGCTTGCTCACTCCCCCTCGGTGGGATGGGGGGAGAATCAGAAGGGTACAAGTGAGAAAACTTGTGGGTTGAGATAAAGACAGTTTAATAGGGAAAGCAAAAGCTGCGCGTGCAAGCAAAGCAAGATGAGGAATGCGTTCACTGCTTCCCATCGGCAGGCAGGTATTCAGCCATCTCCAGGAAAGCAGGGCTCCATCACGCATAACCGTTACTTGGGAAGACAAACGCCATCACTCTGAACTTCCTCCCCTTCCTCCTTCTTCCCCCAGTTTTATATTGCTGAGCATGACATCATATGGTATGGAATATCCTTTTGGTCAGTTGGGGTCAGCTGTCCCAGCTGTGCCCCCTCCCAGCTCCCTGAGCAGCCCCAGCCTGCTCACTGGTGGGGTGGGGTGAGAGGCAGAAAAGGCCCTGACTCTGTGTAAGCATGGCTCAGCAGTAACAAAAACATCCCCATGTTACCAATACTGTTCTCAGCACAAATCCAACGCGCAGCTACTATGAAGCTACCTACTGTGAAGGAAATTAACTCCACCTCAGCCAAAACCTGCATACTTAGTAGAGGTAAAAATGACCAGAATCATAATGCAGGACTTGTTTTTCTAGAAAAATGGACAAAAATGTTATCTCTAATTGGATTTAGTATGATTTTGAACTATCTGAAAAATTTAAACTGAACTAGTCATCATAAGTAACTATCCACTACTACTACAAAGTGTTCTAAACACTCAGAAAAGTAGCACTTGAAATGAAAAGCAGATCAGTGAAGCGGCTAGTAAAACAGAAAGGTCATCAATAAAAGTTTTATCAATTATTCTTGTATTTCAAGGAGGATGGAACTCATAGCATTCCTCTATTTGGACAGACAATAGGTACAACTAGTCATGATAGACACACTGTGTCACTTTAAAGAGGAATGAAACCAGTTTCAAAGGGAAGCACTACGACATAACAAACTGCTATTTGTGAAGTTCGCTGGAGGTCATGCTCACATATTTCTCTAAAAAAGATGGAAAGCCACTTTAGAGTAGTGGCAAGGTAGATTCATTGTAGGAAACATTTTCAGGAAGTTACTTTCCTTACTTGTGTTTAGAAACTTGGATTCTAATTCTACTCACACCATTGGCATTCTGACAACTAAGAAATGTCAAGCTATGCTTAAGAAACTGTGACTCCAAAAGTTGCACAGGATACTGGAAATACTATGGTCTGAGCTGAGAATATGTAAATCATTATAATAATAAACCATGAAAAATCCAAAGATTACTCCAAAGGAAATACAAGCCAGAATTCACAGGTTTCCACTTTTAATGGGGCAGAAGTTTTGCTTCCTTGTTAACGTGATAGTAAGCAAGTTCTAAAAATCAATCTGAGTGAAGAGCTATACATGAGTGCATCCTGCACTTTAAGTGACTGAAGTTAAAAGGTCATTTCAAATTTCTCAAATTATCAGAGCTGCATACTCTGAATTTTTCTTCTAAAAACTACTGAATGCACTTTCTAAGAGATAATATGTGCAACATTGTATTCTTCTCTAACCATTTTAATTTTAAAGAAATGAGACTTCTGAAATGAGGCTTCCTATCTTAGAAGCTACCGTGTACCAGTCTGTCAATCTCCTCCAATTTTCAACCAGTTTTGAAGAGGAAGAGATCTTGAGGACATAAACATCTAAGTAGTTCTATAAAAATATCAGGCTAATTTATTCTCTAATTTATAGTCTACTTGATCTAACTGACAGAGTTCATGAGCTTAGAAATAAAATAAAGCCTGAGGCAAACATGTATCTTTGCCTCTGTTGAGAAAAAGCCCATTTAAAACTTGGTCTCCTACAAGCACCAGCTAGCTGGCTGACCAGAGCGAGTGAGTGTGTCAGCTCCAGCCAGCCACAGTTTGGCGGTTACTTGCCAGCCAAGCACAAGACATGCGAGGAAGTTGAGGTGGAGAAAGGCAATACCAGCAAAGACACTACAAATCCACTGTGCACAGATCAATTAAGTTACATTTTAACTCTGTGCAAAGTGTCCACACACTGAAAAGGAAAACCAAGAGAAATGTTGATGCCGTACCTGCTTATTTCATAAACTGATCAGTGTGGATTCTTAACTTTTTTTAAAGGATATTAACATCCAAGTAGAAGCAAACACTATCTATAGCAGTATGCATTTAAAACCAAGATAAGTTTGAAGAATATATTTCAGACATATCTGCAAATGACTAATTTCTCACTGGGTTACTTCCTTCTCTATTGACTCATTTCCAATAACGCCACTGTCTTCTCTAAACCGGTTGATGTCTGTCTGCATATAGGCTCACAGGTACCATAGGTGCTTGTATTCCTCAGCATCTAGGAATCATATGTAATCTGCATCTGTGTCTGTTGCATGAGATGCCCTTGTTCTCATGCCCTTTCAAAACTGAAAATATTCATATATTCTGTGCTGGGAAAACAAATGTCAGCTAGTTACCTGGCAACCTGTATGAAATAAAAGAAAAGTTTGTAACATATTTTTGCTTAGGGCAATCACACAACTCATTTGTATCCTCATTTATAACAGCAACTGCTCAGAAGAGAATGTGCATCCCAATAGGTTTTTTCCAACTTATTTTAGAAGTCTGGAGATTCACTCCACAACTGATTTTATGGTGATTGTTCTGAATAGCTATAAATATAGAGGTTTTCATAATCCAAAGCTAAAATTCCCTAAATTGAGCGTGCTATATCTTGAAAGAGAAAATTAAAAGTAATATATTCCATTTACTTTTTCTCACTACAAAATTCCACACATCAACAAGATGCAAAATTTCCACTTCAGCGCTAACTTCACAAAGAGCATCAAAAGTTCTCTTCAGAACATGCTTTCCTGTTTTGCAGGAAGCACATCATCTAGTCCAGCTGGGTTAATGGTTTTTCACCACATGTCTACTGCTATAGACCAGACATAACTAAAACTGTAATAGCTTCCAGAAGAGGAACAAAATTACACTTACTTTAGCTTACTGATCCTGGCTTCTGTAGTTTCAGTCAAACGTTTTGTTTCTTCTTTCCACCGATTTGTTGCTTTTTGCTGAGCTACTAACAGACGTCTAAGTACAGCAGTAGACTTCTGACTGGTGTCTTCCATCTCCTTAAGTCGAGCTTCATATCCATGTTCCTTCACAGAATGCTCATGTTCCATTGTGCTTATCTACAAAAAAATACAAGTCAGGTACAATCAAACCTCTCCCTTTTTACTCTTTCTTTTTTTTTTTTACACCACTTCAATTCAATTTATAAACATTTGTTGAAAGCATGTAACGTACAATAATTAAACTTGTAATTATATGCTTAAAGAGATACACATTCCAAAAGCCAATTTAAGCAAATAGTACAACTGACAATAAAGGATAATGAGCTGCATATGCCTATTTTTATAAATAATCTTTATCCTTCTCCCTTGTGTTTCCTCCACAGAAACACGTTATTTCTTTTTCATCTTGCTAAAATGTGTTAGGAGTTTCTTAACTGTGTCTAAAATCAGAGGAAATATTTCCTCTACATCAGAGGAAAATGAAAGCAAGCAATAAATCTTATCTGTGACTATAATGGAAGCCTGTCTGATTAAAAACGAGACAGACAAAGATCTGGTATATGCATTATAACTGCTACCTGTCTGTTACAAGACTCTGATCCTTTGTTTTTAAACTACATTTGACCAAAGGGTTCTGGAGTTGGAACAAGATTTCCTGTTTAATTTGACTGCTTCCTTTATCTTGTGGTGGAAAGTGGAAAACGGATTTGAGATGGTACCCATTTGTAACTTGTAAAACTGCTCAGTGAAGTCTTCTTCATTGCTGCAGATTCTTAGATCCCTTTTCAATATCTTTACATTCCTGGAGTTAAGAGCAGAGGGGAAAGTACCAGCTTTACATGTTTAGAAAGCACATCAAGGATCAAAGCTGTTTCTCCCTCCAGAAGCCAAAAGGTACCATGAATCTGCTGAGGTTACTGTTAAATCATTATCCCACCTGCAGTCTGTCCACTGCATTTAATAGAACACGTTCAAAAAGAACGGCCATCTTTCAGCTAATTATCTTGTTTGCAACTATTCATACAGAAAAATCTTCTCTGTCCAGAAAATGCAGAACCAATGTTTGACAACCACACTATTATTTATTAGTTACACACTGCTCTGACAACACAGTGGACATACAAGTAGATGAACACTGTGGACTGAAAGCCACACAGAGATTCCTAACACATTACAAACAGTAGATAAATGAAGATCTGGAATTGGAATAAGTGAAGGAAAATATGTTATTATTTAATCTATTCATTTTACAAAAAGCAAAGAACATTTTGGAACTTCTTATCAAGCAGAACTTAATACATATTAAAATACAATTTAATTAGCAGAGATTGAGTTACCCAATAGATTTTGAGGACACACAATGCTACAATAAAATTACTTTTAAGTAGAAATGAGGAAGCATCATTGAAACTTTAATCCTTAATTTAAACTTTAAATTATTTTCTCTTGGAACTGCTGCCTTATTAAGCAAGTATCAGTCTTGCATTACAATAAAAATAACATGCAAATCATACCTTTATTTTAGCTTTTTGTTGAGCCTTTACAGCCAGTTTTCTCAAGTCCTCAATTTCTTTTTGCAATTGTTCATTCTCTTGCTGAAGTTTTAGCCTTTGTTCACTGACAAAGGCACTCTTTTCTCTTTCTGAATCCAGAATGCTTTGCAATTTACAGATAGCTTCCTGGCAACGAGACTTCTCTTCCTCAGAGCTGAAAGAGAAGAGAAGTCCTGTTGGAACTCAAGAGTTGAACAACTACCATACTAGAGAAAAAACAACATACGGGGATAGATCTTTGGTCTGACCCAGTACAGCTGTTCCCCTGTTTCTTCCTGAAAGTTTGTATTAGCTCACCATGTTTAATGGGCTTGAGCGCCAGAACTATGCACAAGTCAGCAAAGAATTTTATGGAGATGATGAATTCACAAAACCAATCTAATATTGTAGATATCACATTAAAATGACAACATGAAAGAGAAGATTTTCATTTCTATAACATTTCCAGTTTGCCAATTGAGGACTGTTCTGCCAAAGTGACAGGATTTACAATCATCAAAGTACAGAAACAACTAAAGCTTCCAGAGAATCCTACACTTTTCATGCTGAAAACAACTTGGTCTAAAAACGTGTACCACCTTGTACTTTTTACCATTGTATTCTTGGAAGTGCAATAATGTCTATTAGCTCTGAACACAGACCTGAAACTCAGTATACTATGAAAACAGTGTTCTGCATGTACTAGGAGATACCACACTGTAAATGAATTTATACAGTAATTAATTTTGCCTGAGTATTTCATGGAGTAACTTTTTCTACAAACAGGATTTAAAAATGTAGTAATATTCCAAATAATATGCTCCTATTTTCATTTTTTTTTTGTCAAACAACTGCTTGCAGTTCTCACCTTGTAAAGAAATCTTTCATTCTACAGTGCGTTATCCCCTTTAATTCTTTTCTAGTAATTCATAATTGCCCTTGCTCCAGAATTATGGTATCTTGATACTATTCCTGCTACTGGTTAAAAAGATGTGACAAAAACCTGACACGCTATCAACAATTTAATTAGAAATAATTTCCATTGTTTTCCATTCCAATTCTGTAACATCCATTACTCACTTCATTTCCAGTTGTTTCAGTTTATTTTGTGTTGTCTGAAGACTTAGCTGAAGGTCACCTTTTGTAGCTTCTGCAAGTAAATATTTCTGATGCAGTTGCTCTAATCTTCTACTGTCAGATTCACGTCCTCTGTCTTCCCTGTAAATCTGAAGAATAAATTTACATGTAAGATCCTCTTTACCTTGCACATTTTCCAGTGATTTAAAACAAAACTAAATTTCTACCATTGTTGCTGCTACTTGGAAAAAAAGTTTTCAAAGATTTGGCATTCATTTACTTTTCTGCCTACTGAGCTTACGTTTAACTTTTTCAAAGAGCCCTCTTTTTAAGTTTAGTATTACAGCTTTAAAACACTTTCCAGATTAAAAAACCCCATACACATTAAGATAATTACATGAAAATTCAAAATTAAGAAAATCTACCCGAAAAATAAAATAAGAAAATCAAGGGAACAAAAACCCCATGAGAAACTGGAAAAATCAATATATGTTTTCCTTCTGAAAAGAGATTTTAAGTGTCATGTAAAAATGCATGCAATTTTCTTACCTTTTCAAGTTCTTCTTCTACTGCTCTCTTTTCTCTAATGGCTCGTTCAATTTGATCCTGTTTTTCTCCACATTCCTATGTTAAAAAGTCATTTATAAATAAATCTAATAAAAAAAAAAACTCAAACTAAAAATTCAAGAACTGTCAAAGCCAAAACCCAGTCATTATAAATGTAAGTCTTGCTGCTGGTATGTGTGCATGTGGTTATATTGACCTGCTCGTTATTTTCTCTACAGGATAATTCCCATTCAGTATACAGACTAAGGCATGTAAAATGAAACCTTTTTTTAATAAATTTAATCCGTAAATAGCTGCACATGCACTGAGCTCTTTCGGTCTCCCATATAATTTGTTACAAGTTCCTGGTTGATTCAAGAATATGACGACTGTGATGCACAGACTTTCTCTTAGCATCCTTCATCAGCTTTGATATACTGCATTTCTACACATCCAACTATAGATACGCAATACTCATCTTTCCATGCTTTATTTATCCCTGAAAGAAACAGGGATACTTAAGGAAAAGCCACCACACGGGAAATGTTTTCTAGAGCACAGAATCTCACTGTCAAGATGCTTGTGAACTATGATAAGAATATGCATAACTCAAGGAATGAACTTACACAAAGAAATGCGTGGATGTGCAGAACTGTATTATTTTATGCAGAGCCAGGCAAGACTCTCAGTATAAGTAAGATCTGATTCTATACGTATAAGGCAAATCTGCACATTAAAAATTGATTTTTAAATATCCTTTACATCTAAAGCACTGACTGCTAAGACACTGCACACAGCCACTTTTGTCAAGTAACATGAAAGATACTGTACGTTGCATTAATGTCTGCAGATATACAGGATGTAAAGTGCTACACAGTAATAAAGCATAGTCCTAGATAATTATCCATTAATCATATTTTAGTTGACTTACTTTTACCTAAATTTAATATTTAACTCGATAAAAACTAGAAGTCTCAAACGTTTTGCTATCAAAAATACTTTCACCAGTCAACACCATACCATCTGAAGAGCTGAAAGTTCTTCTGTTAGTCGAGAAATCTGCACATTATATTGCTTCTTTGCAGAGTCTACCTGCAATCAAAACCAAAGTAAAATTAAAAAATTAATCCCATGAAATATTTTTCCATTCTGTTTATATATATAGTCTATATGTAGTGCAAGTATATAAATATATGGGACTGCAATAATTGACAAATCTTCCTACATAAATGTTAGAAAGAATATTTATTATCAATCCATACTACTTTAAATAACAGTGCTTAGCAAAAAAAAAAAAAAGGCAGAAAGGAAGACATCACAAGGCCTTGCTTACAAAAAGAACAGTAAGACTATCAGGAAAGCTGCTGTCCATTAGGTGCAGGTTATTTGCAGTTTTTGTAACAGGTATTTTTAGATCACATAACAAAAGTATTAACACCTGGAGAAACATGACAACTCACAGTTTAAAATTTTACTTTTTATGCTTTTGATAGATTCAGTTTTACTGAAAGAACATCAAAATAAGAAATAGGACATTTCTAACTGTCTAAACTTTGATTAGTAAATCATTGTCACAACTAGAGTGCTTATCCTTGTTGCTCTTTAGCTCTTGCACCTTCTTCAAATTATGTATGACATTAAATATCGCAGTTTCAAGTAATCCACACAATTTTTGTGATTCTTTCAGGTAACCACCAAACAGAATGCACAAACCATCTTTATCCTCATTTTAAAGGCTCTGAGAATTTAGACAGTATATTTCTGAAACCTCTTGAAATGAAAGGATAGGGAAAAAAAAGAATCCTTTCACCCCCATACAGTACACATGTACATTGTGTCACAATGAAGAAAGTGAAAGGAGAGATAATCAATTACACCACTGAAAACTTTCAAACAAGAAAATTGCTTTACCCTGTTGTCCACTTTCAACAAAAGACATTGCCAACACATGCCAGTAACAAGCCTTTATTTCCTCTGGAGTCTGCCTTAAAATAAAGCAAGTCTCTTTGATATGCAAGTAATTACTGAGAACCTCCAGGCACATTAGTCTGCATTTTAACTGCAGATGGGACACAACATGGAGAAAATTAATTCTGTGACTAGCCTTTTATCAGAAGAGCTTCAATTTTTCAACTGCTCATAACAACAATAACAAAAATCATAAAGATACTACAACAGTTGTTTTAGTAATTTCTCTACCAAATTCTGCTTTCTAAGTGTGCTGTAATATTGAGCCTTTTGACTGTTAGCTGTACTTGGTAGAAGAGTCTTGCTTTCCTAAATGGGGGAATATTTTTAAGTACTGAGATGCCAAAAAAATGATAGTATAACTTTCAACAGGTCCTATCATCCGAATGCACATAAGATTCCATCAGTAACCTCCAAGATGAGTCCAGGTGTCATAAATTAAATACCTTGATACTAACACAACACTCAGTCTGTTGACATGCTACTGAACGGAATCTCTGAAGTCAAAGTGCCATTCTTTACATCTTCACAATGCAGCCTTCTCTATAGCAGTGTCTGTACGGACATTAACACTTTCGGTTCTTGAGAGAGTTAAGAGTATAATTTAGTTCAGAAGAATAGATATCTAGATAACAAAGCTGAAGAATACAGTACTTCCAGCATGCTGCCTTCCTACCTACAGTATTAAAACACGTGCATAGAAAACTGCTCATGATGACCGTGCACCATCAATAGCTTTTCACGCTGAGGAGAACCAAAAAATCTTCCCATTCTTTCTAAACATCATAACTTACTGCCTTTCTAATTCTTGCAGCAGTATCTTCTACAAGTTGAGCCATCTTATCTTTCATGTTTTTTATTTCCTCCTCCTTTTGTTTCTCCCCAAAGAGTGCCTAGAAAAAAAAATAACACCTTGAAATACTACTGATAAGATTTCAAAGGTAACATTGTATCTAGCACTGAGAGAAGAAACCACACATTGTCACTGTTTAAAAAAACCTTTTCTCCTTTTTACTTTGGAGTAGCTGACACTGCAACCCAATGAAAAACATGAACAGGGAGAACATTTTGCGCTAAACACAAGATTCCTGCAAATCAGAACCACACAAAAAGTTTGTGTCAGTAGATGCCTTTTTCTATTGGGACTTCTTATTGGGACATTCAGATTTTGGCTGGGCATGGACTTCTACAAAAGAAAACATAGGCACTCAGACCAAAAGGCAAAGGTACTCTCCAGTGTTCTCATCTGGTACCAGGACCTGTAATAAAAAAAATGCCAACAATGATGCATAGAAAGTTCCCGGTTAAGAAACTGAATACCTGTATACACACACACACACGCTCCTACATAGAGCTAGTAATTTTTTTGTGGTTGATATACCAAATTACTTGTCTCCCAGCAAACCAAAAGTAAAGGAATAAAAATTTATAAGCAACTAAGGAAGGTGTACGCAGTTCCTTTCATGGTGCATAACAATGAACCAAACAGCTCTTCAGCATCAATGAATGGTAAGAATTACAGAAAAAGGTGTAGCAAGGAACCCCTCCTCTGGAGGATGCAAGAAAGCTACTGATGTTAAAGCGTAACAGGAGATACTGGTCTGAAAAGATTACAGAATATAGAATAATCCTTGCTGGGCAAGATCAAAAATCCTAGGCGGCACATAGAGAATATGTAGGTGCATGAAGGGAGAAAGAAATAAACACGTCCCTAATGGATGATATAAATTCAGCCTATAGAAGAGTACTCACTTCAGGCAGCAACATGCCACTTCATTGGTCATACCTCTTACACTGCTCCCATTCAATTCAACTTTATATCTTATTTCTCAAACTACTCTTTTAAAATTCTGCTGTCTTTTTGTAAGCTTAGCTTTGTGTGCTTTAAAACGTTAATGTAACAGAAGCAGCATTATTATGAGAAGCAGCATTATTATGACAGCCTGTTACTTCCACCCCTCAGTCTCTTACAGAGCAGGGAGAAACCTCCTTACTGCATGGCTACTGTCATCACATGTGCATTAAAGCTCTGTCTTGCCAGCAAACACACTTCATTAGATTTCTAAAAGCCTGACTTGAACTGAAGCTTAGCATTAAAACCCAGAAGAGCCCGTAACAGACAAAAGTTTATCCAGCCCTGTATGCTGTCTCCTAAAGGGGCAAACAGCAGATACTTCAGGAAAGTTAAGAACTGGGAAAACAGATCAACAGACATGTCAAGACCTGCTGGATAGACCTTGTTCTTTAGGAAATTTGGGTGGATTGTTCTGTCGTGAATTTGACTGTTTTCATATCTATACTTTTGGCATACACATCCTATGACAGTTTAATCACATATTGCATACAAAAAGTTATTTTAAGGCCTCTCCACATGCTTTCTTTGTTGACTCCTCCTGCACTTTCCTAATTCTCCAGTGTCTTGGCTGCAATGGCCTAATCAAAAACTGCACACAACGGTGCACTATGTTTAAAGGCATCTTTATTTTGGACTCTCATTCTGAATATCCTATTCATTGTATCAAGTACCACTGAGCACTGTGTTAATGTATTCTTAAGAGACACCCACACCATCTCCTACACTGTTTTTTGACTCTTAAGACTAAATTCAGCACCCAGTATTGCACATTTTAATTTCTTCTGCCATTTTATCACACCCTACAAATGCCTTTGTAATTTTTTCCTGACTGCAGACTTCACCCACTCATAACTCAGTCACTTTTCCAGATTTCTTAAGAATAATTAAGGTCTGAACAGAGAACTCACTCTCTTGGTGACCTATGTTCATCATAAAACAAAAAAGTTCCTTCAGTTTTAGCTCTTCTTTCCTAACCATTAACAAGTCATAAATTCATAACAGGACCTTCCTTTTTATTCTGACAGCCCAATTTGTTTATAAGTATTCAATAAGAAACCCTTCCAGAATTTTTCAAAATTCAAGTTCAGGTACAGTATTATCACTTAGATTACCTTTATTCAGGCACTCAACACAGTCTTTGAAATGTATACTGTATGACAAGTCTAAGTAACGTATAGTCATATCACAGTTTGCTGTCTTACGCATTACTAATTTTAGTACAACAGACATAAAAGAAGCTTGGTTGTGTATGCATGTATGCCTGTAAGAATACATAATCAGACACTTCACAACTGGAACTGGTGAAAGTATTCTAATACCCAAGAAATATCTTCATTCACTGCCTTACCTGACTTTTTTGTAGATTAGCTTCTTCCAGGAGCTGTATGCAATCTTGGACTTTTGCGACAGCATCATATTTCTCCCTTTCTAGATTAGCGTACTTTGTCTGAAGCTCTCCAATTTGTTTCTCCAGGGCTGTTCTTTCTGTTCTCAGCTGTTCAGCATCCTGGACAGTAACACGTAACCTACAAGACAGTAATAATTTTACTCATTTAACAATAAAGCGCTTCATTAAGACACTAATTCTTTCAAAATAAACTACTAGGAAGTACTTTTGAATAAGTCGCCAAAACTGCATTCCTGGTTTTATGCTTGGTTTTGGACAGAGTCTTTGAGTTTAATATTCATCAAGTCCTAGAAAGAAACAGAATTAAAGGAGTTAACTCAGATATCTAATCTCAAAAGATCCTTAGAAGAATGTTGCTATCCTGGGATACATCACTGAAAATGTTCTATATTAAAACAGAATAGAACAGCCCCAGAAGGAATAAAGTTCTCCTCTGTGGAGGAAATGGAATAATTGGATGTGGGCAATGAAGTTGCAGCTATACCATTAGAACAAGAAAACCACTGGTAATTTTACGACACCTCAGAAATTCTTATTGTTTAATTATGATTGTCAGTATTGGCAGGCACAAAGAAGGGCAACACAGTCTCAGAGGCATCCTCAAACCAATCTCAGAAAGTTCCACAAGTGCTGGTGGTTCAATAAAGTGCACAGTTCTAAATATCCATGGTGAGCAATTTGGCAAGACTTGTGCTGTGTTTTCAAGTAGCCATGCTTTTTTACTTTCTAACATGTTTGTAATAAAACATACAAAGATAACCACTCTATTTTTGTAGAACCAAAGCACAACTTTTGTAGAACCAAAAACCTACAGAAAATAATAAACCTAGCTAATTTTGTAAGACATTCTAAAATAAACTTAAGAGCCTCCAACAATGCTTAGGCCAGGGAAATTCATTAAGTAGAGGCAGCCACACAAATCTGTGCAACTCCTCGAGGTAGTACTTGACCACATAGTCACAAGGTTGGTTCCCTAGTAATTATTTGGTTTCTAGAGTTATTGAAGAGTCTGCTAATCACGCTCACTAGGCTGTGACCAAGAAGGGAAGATGAACAGTCACACAATTATTTCAATAACAAATTTACGAATTCTTCTTAGCTATCAAGTCCTTTGACTAATATTAATAATTCAACAACTGTTCGTGATACTTGAATCAAAATCACTGTGCCCAGCTAAGTGTGATATCCTTGGAAAGTGAAAGGGGAAAAAAAACCCCAACATAAAAGAATCCAATTGGGTCTTCGATCTTCCAGTAGACAGTGCTGGAATTAAAGTTCTATTTCTTAGCAGGTATTCAAACTACTTTTGTAACTAGCATTTATTGTCAATAAGTGTGCTTTAACAGTTTTATTAAATAATCTTTTTTTGTATAAAGATTGCTGAAACCAAATCTTATTTAACACGGAAAGAAAAATCTTTATTCACCTCAAAATCAACTAGTTTACATAAACATTTTCAAATTTCAGTGTCAGTGTCTTTCTTTAGAACTCCACTTAAAGCTAATGAGTCGAGTAACTAGAATTTATCCACTAGCGTGAAAAATATATACCTCATTTTTTCTCCATTACAGTCAATAAAGTGGTCTGTTTTATCATTTTAAATACACTGAAATCAGAAGCTATTCTGAAAGGTTGCAGAATAGAACAACTAAGATAGAAAGCAGCCAAGCATGAGATATCTCTATTTTAGAAAACAGAACTGTTCAGAAACATAAAACCAGAGGCTGAAAAAAAGGTCATATTTCATCTCACTTGCACGTATCCTGTTACTAACACCCAATGAACCATCTTTACCTTGTTTCCAATTGTTTTATACTAGACTGCATTTGCTGCAAGCATTTGTCAGATGCTGTTTCTCTTTGCTGTGCAGATATGACGTCTTCTTCCTAGAAAGAATATATGCATTATCCAGACACCATCTGAGCTTCCCTGAACAAAATTAAGATATACTAACATAAAACAAGTTAGAGAGCAACTTGCAACTAATTTAACGCCAGCATTCAGATAACTGACTAGCCATTCAATTGCAATAGAAAATTATTCCTTTCTCTCGAATACCTTTCTCTCCAATTGGCCTTGAAGCTTCTCTGTCAATCTGGTCATTTCATCAACCTTAGCATTTGCTGACCGCCCATGTATTTTGGCTTGCCTGTATAAAGAAAACAGTCTATGAATTACATCTAAATTGTTACAGGGGAAAAAAAAAATTACTCCACTACAACTTTGTTGAAATACCTGGGAAGGGCAGTCAGATTTCATAATACTGTTCCTACAGGGCAGAAAAGGTTTCCCACCATTTCTTATTCTCCTTCTTACTATGTGGCAGTGAGAGAGGAATACCAAATTCATTAAACAATTGTCCTGTGGAAATCACTTCCTAAAGATGGCTTAACAAGACAGTGTACATGTTGACTAAATATTTGGGAGGACTAGGCAACCAAAAACTTTAAGTCATTCTATAACTTAAATATTATTGGCCACAGATACTTAATAGAGAAATCTTTTCTAGAATTAGATTTCACTTTGTAAAGCAATGTGACCAGGAATTTAAAAAAAATCATTAACTACTTCTGAAGAATCTAACTGTTGTGCTTTGTAATCTGAAGAGGTTTGACAAGCTGAAACAGAAAAGGAAAAAAAACCCTAAGGACTAGTTAATGAATCAGACTTCCGCCTCAGTAGAAAAGCTTATTGAAATGATCAACCCTCCTACTCCTCTGACTTGGGAACTGAAAGACATAGAGTCCTTCACCGGGGGTGTAACCCAATTATTCAGGCTGCACATTAGGCTAAATTTAAAGACCAACGACTGAATGTATGATCAAGTTAAAAAAGAGCAAACGTATTAGATATGGTAATGCAAACTGGAGCACTAATAGTTATGAAAGAAGCTAGAAAATATTTAATGCTGTTAATAATCAAATTTGAGCAAAAAATCCTTATAAAAGCAATAATTTTAATTTAATGGCATAAAAGACAAGAGCGTATTATACCTAAGAAAATCTAAAGTAAAATATACCTAATCCCAGAAATTCTACAGCAATTCATTAATTTCAGCTTAATTAAACAAAAAAGCTAATTTTGTTATAATTTCTTTAAAAAGTAAAAACAAAGATAAAAATGTTATTCCCAGACACATGTGCCTCATTGCAGGTCCAAACTTTGACCTTACTCCATCTGAATGATGTGCTTTTCTCCTATAGAAAGTACTGTCAAGTTTATGAGGACATTAAGTTGCTTCCCCAAAAATATTTAAAATGTGTTGTAAATGAAAACAAAACAAAAACTCAAAACCCAGCGTAAGCAGGGAAAAATAACAAAAATATAAAGAAGTCATAAAACTCAGAACTGCTTAAGTACTAAAAATGCATTTTCATGTCCAAATTCAGATTCAGATCAAATTCAGGTGTGTGTTTAGGAAGCAAGAAACTGATTCTAAAGATGCAGCTTTTATTCTTTACTGTGCAGTATGTCTTTAACATAATCTCGACAAGTTATCTCTGTCTAAAAGTTTTAAGATTCTGAAATGCAGATACCTGCCCTAGCAATGCCAACAGAGCTACAAAACACTAAAGCACTAATAAACGTTTTAATAAAAATTCTAGCATATAAATAACTGAAACCTGTTCAGACCTCAATTCTCTACAGAAATACATCAAATACTGCATTGTCTCTATGCATAGCAGATTATGATCCTTTAATAGCTAGCGTAACAGTACACAAATAGTGTTTAAATAGTACAATGTAACTGTACATTTTATATTCAGTTTATGTAAACACTGATGAGAAGCAATGACTCAGTTCTCAAACACTTCTCAGGCAGTTTTTGCCCAAATTTCAGGTTGGTTTTTTTTTGGGATAATGTCAGCTTCTGATCCGAAGAACAAAAGCTAATATCACCCTGAAAATAACTTCCAGGAGAACTCTTAATTGTGTTCTCTTTTTCCCAGATTACTCGCCCAAACTTAATCTGGCAGTCTGCCTTTATGCATGCATACTGGAGATACAGGATGACAATGCATCAGGAGCATGTTTAAAATGTTTTATGGCTACTTGTGTTAGATTGTATACTTTGCTATATATTTATCTGAAAACACCTAAAAATTATCGACATACATTTATAAGCTTAGTAACAGCAAAACCTCAAAACTACACTCAATCTAGGCCATAGAAACGTAAATCCTCTTATACACAAGTTGGTTTTTTTTCTTAAAATCTACTTTTGCTTTTCCAGACTTGTTACTCTATCACCATAAATCAGTGTAAATCTATTAAAAACATCCAAAAGGATTAGAATTGTCTGCAATATATACTATATAATCCAGGCAAACTACATCTATGTAACCTCACGTTACAGAAACAACTGGTGAAAATATTCCAGACTTCTTTGGGAATCACTGCAGCGCTTACTTTAGAACTCTATAGAGCTGTTGTCATTAGCTGTGCGAGTATAATAGTGCTGGTTTTAGGGTTGCAAGAACTTTTAGCTTATCTCAGAGGAACGTGAGGGTAATCAGTGCCTGCAACTAGATATGCAGAATTCCTCCATGAGTCTCCTTGCCCAAAAATAAGAATGCTATAGGGAGAGTAACAACAGCAAAGGTTGCTCATGATCACCACCAGTCAGACTAAATAGTTAAAAAGACACTGCTGAGATGATGAGAGCTTGAAAATAAACATGAAAACTTGTGATTGCGGCTGACAGACCTTAGAGTGACAGCCCAGCCGTGGAGCTGTGTTTGACCCTGTCAGGAGTCACTCCATGGGCATTGCCACCTCTTCCCAACCCTGAGAGCAACTGCCCCACCAGACCCCAGGACCAACCTATCAGGTGTGCCTATGGGAACTCCTGGGGGGCTTTCTCAGCAGGGCACAACCAGCAGACTTCAGAAAGCAGCACAAGTACACATAAAGCTGGAGCACCCCCACCTCCAGCCAGATGGGTGTGCAGATGGGGGAACACATACTTCCCAAAAAGGGAGTATCTGTGCACGTGCTTTTAATCCACGCTTCCTGTGAGAGAGGGAATGTACCTATGTAAGAGCAAGCAAGAAAGTGTGTGAGATCAGCACTTCATGGAGTCAACTGCAGAAGGCTGTTTATAGATTTATTTGTTTGTTTATTAATATGTTGCACATGCCTAGTATCATGGTTTACCCGTTACATTATTAATATTGACCATTGATGTACAGGCCACTGATAGTCCATTATTGACTAATGGTATACAATTAACTGCTTTGATTGACTTAAGCCACGTGGGTTGAGCAGTCTTGCCCAGCCAGAACATATTAAATCAGAAATTTAGGAAGATGCTACTCCATCCCGGTAAATACTTACATGAAAGTCTAAATTCACTCACAATTTGACTATTTATAAAACAGCAACTAATCAAAAAATATGCATATAAGTTTGGGCATGTGTGGGTAAAAGTTCAGAGCAAGATGATCCACTAGCTTTCAGTCAGTCCCAGACACTTCCACCTTTTAACATACATTCTGTCTGAAGCACTATTTAAAGCAGAAAACATGCACTTCCCTTCTACCATCCACGCTCATTTGCACAGTCAGTTATACAGATCCTGGTGTGTATACGTGACTATGAACCAAAGAGTTTGACCATTTTGGTTGTCATGACATACTCTAAATTATTTGATCAAAGCAGTACCATTAAAGAATTTCATGCCGTTCCAAGGATCAAGCCTAAAAAGGAGTTTTCTTTTAAAAAACGAAATAAAAGATAAGACCAAAGGAAATCATGACACCTGTAATTTTGACAAAAACACTCAACTGGCTGCTCAACCACAACCTGAATGGTTTTAAGTTTGTTTCTTTTGGGTTTTTGTCTGTTTGCTTTTTTTAAAATCAAAACCACTGAAAGTGTTAGAAATGCAGTAATAAACTGAATGTTGGTACCATTTATTGAAAGTCTAAAATAAGTTCAGTTAATGCTAATTGTTTTCACACCCACTTATTACATGAGTCAATGCAAGCATGTCAATGCAAGACCAAAGATTTATAGATGAATGAAATACCAAATACTAATACCCTCTGCATGGAAAGAAATTCAAAAAAAAGTAGGGATATGAAAATGTTGTTCTTTCCCTTTTAAGAATTAAGCAGTAAGCATCCACAAACACATTGCAAGTGATGACTGAGTTTGGAAATACTTTATTTTAGCGAATACCCCAAATATCACCTTGATCTTTGACTGCTTGTCATGTTTTCCTTCTCCAAAACACACTATTTTTGAAAACAGTTTTTCCATGGAAAAATCTTGGCTAATAAGAAATGAGAGGTGCTAACAAGTCCCCCTCAATACACATCTTCCGTGATTGATGTAACTTTGCATTTGTAAGGAGGTTCTGGCTCTAAATAGGAAATATGCTACCCCAACACTAATGATGCATGCATTTGTAACAAACTTAAGAGGCATTAACTGAAGCCATTTTAACTATTACTATCAAGTCAGTCTGCAGTACAAACAAGGCCCATAATACACCAGCAGGTTAGAAAATACTGTAAGATATTTAATAATTTTTTTAAATTGCATAGTTTATACCTCAGTTGTTTTCGTAGTTGCTCGAGTTCCACATTCTGTTCTGTTAGAGTTTTCAGAAACTGTTGATTGCTCTGCAAAATAAGGTGATATTGGTAACGTGTCCCTTATCATATTAAAAATGTTATACATTCAGAATTGTTATAGGGCATTACTACAGAATATAATACCATAAAAATTGCCAATAAGGTATATTTAGCATTGTGTCTGGTCTCCAAATGCCAAGGTTTAGGTAGAATATTTTAGAAAGGCAAATGCAGAGTGATGTTACCTAATTCTCCCCTTCTTTCACCGTATTTTGGTAGTGTAAGCACTTAAGAACTTCCCAAGATGAGGATTGTCACAGCTCAGACCTACCATCTGCATTCCCATCTACCTTAGGTGTCTAGAATGCCTCGTCACAGTGAGTATCACAGTAGGGCACATATTGCTGGAAAGAATTCCTTTGTTTTAGAGACAAGACACAATAAGCAATTGCTGCTCCTTCATTTTTTCCATGCCAGCCATAATGCTGGAGGTGTCATTATCCTTCAACTGTCTTCTCATTTGACAATCATTCCATATTTTTGTTACCCTACTTGTCTTTTGTTACCTTACGAGCCTTTTCTAGATCTTACTTACACCTTACATTGAGATATTAGAGATGACCACAACTGCAGTCAGCATTCAGGATGCTACTGTACTGTGGACTTCATCACAATATATTCCTTTTCCCTCTCTCCTAGTAATTGCTAACATTCTTCTTGCTTTTTTGACTGTTGCTAAGAATTGTTTTCAGACACTTCCTACTTCTAAAATACCTATTGTCAGTGGTTACAGCTAATTTCAAGACCACCACAGAGTATTCAAAGTGAAAGCTCCCTCTTGCCCACACACATTATTTTGCTTTTATTAATGCCAATGAAATGTCAGATAAAATTCATTCACATACTCAACATCATGAGATCTTTCTGCAAATTCCTGCAGTTTATTTCAGTTTTCACTACCCTAAATAGTTTAACATCAGTAGTGAACACTGTTGCCTCAATACTGGATCTCACTTCTAGAACTTTTATAAATATGTTGAACAACTCTAACCTGAGCACATCCAGGAAACACAGCTGTTTTACCACAACTAAAAAAACCCTAATTACTCTGTCTCTTGACTTCCTATTTTTCGGTTTGTTAGTTCAAGAAAGGGCATGCTTCTGTATCCCATGACATCTTTATGCCTTTGGCAACAGACCTTGCCAAATGTTTTATGGATAACGTGAACAAATGGATTACCTTTCTCTCATCTGTTTCATCTCTTTCAAAGAGTTCATATATTTCACTCTCTCCTCTCCACATCATCTGTTTCCAATTTTATGATTTTAAGCATTCACCAATTCTGTTTTTTTGAGGTACCTACTACTGATTTGCTTGTAACAGTAGATCAATGAGTCTGTAACTTCCAAATCCTCAGCAAAACTGCTTTAAAAGTTCATCATTGTATTTGCTTGAGATTGTTTCCAGACAGCAATGCCCCAGTAACTCTAAAGTATCTATCTTTAGAGAACAGTTAATTTTGAGACCATTACTGACTACATAAGGCAAAAGTTCCGCTCTGAGTGCAGTATTTTGCTTTTATTAATACTAATGGAATAGGTTGCAAACAGGACAACTGCTTGCAAGATGCAATTCTGTAGTAATCTGCAATATACTATTCAACATTGGTAAGGGCTCAACTGAAGTATTGTACTGTTTCCAGCATCACAGTTCAAGAATGATGGCACAATTGGAAAGAATTTAAGGGTGAGCAAGAAGAATGGTAAGACATCTTTAAAACACCGTCAAAGAACATGTAAAGACTTAACTTGCTTTGAACAGAATAGAAAAAGCAGTGAAAGGAAAAAGATGGCAATATAAAAGTTTTCAATAACAGAGGCACTGTGATAAATAATGCAGTAATCATTCCTTCATATTTACAATACCTCACACCAAAAAAAGAGGTTCATATTTTAACATGAGGTCAGATGTGAGGAAAAGAGGTTCCAGTGATAAAGATAGAAGAGAGTAGACTACATAGAGTAGATTAGGAGTCTTTCTGCACTGTCAGTATCCAAGATAAACATTAATCAAAAATCACGCAGGGATCACATCTTTCAGAGAAGAATCTGCTCAACCAGAAACTTCACCAAGTCATTTACCTCAATTTTTCCCTGATATTAAAATTGTTTGTCAGTCTTGGAAGTCCTAGGCTAAAGATTAGAGTAAGAAGTCTCACAGTCGAAGGATATGGATGAAGCACTAGCAGATGATTAGAGCTCCGAACAATCCCTGAAAGGGTCAATGACAAAGACACTAAAGCCAGCAGTGGAACTGATATGAACTGACAAACTTGTTGCAGAGCTGGCCTATATAAGAGGCCATCACTTAAATAAATTTTTCCTTTGTGAAGCTGGTTTTGAACATGTGACTTAAGCACACTCACCACATACTAAAATTCTGAGGGTAAGCTTACCACTGACTTCATGAAGAAAGCACTCACATAATATTAAGAGCTAACCTCTCAAACACCCTGACTCGGTGTTTAGATTCAGGAAAAAGGCCATTACTACTTGATTTTTGACTGGTCCCAAGAAAAGTTTGCAAATGGCACAATTTCCCTTGCAACCAGGTATGTATGAAGGACTTTTTTCTTTTATGCTTTGAGGTTCTAGTAGGGGAAGAAAAAAAAAATTACTAGGTCACTGGTCAGAAGGTTTTACTTACGAACTCTATTTTCTCATTGGCTATATGCAGTTGCTGAGTTAACTGTTGAAAGCCAGTCAGTTGATCCTAAAAAGAGAATTCAGAGCTTCTTATAATCATTATCATCATAAAGAGTGTATAATTTAGAGATTTTCATAGTCAACTGAAAACATTTGTAAAAAAAATTTATACATGTTGCAGGAAATTCAATATGCCTTTGTAGATTTTATTTAGACTGTTTTTAGCTGTTGACCTCATAATCTTGAAAATTACATTTACTACTGAAAAATGTATCTGAATTTCACTCAGATACAAACTGCCTCCTTCCAAAACTCATACACACTTATGATCAAAGTATGAAAGCATACATGAGCAGTGCCTTTAAAGAGCCACACAAACTATGGTGCTACTATAAGTGTTTTTGCTAAGCACAGTAGTAGAAATGTACCCCTAATTAAAAAATGCCTGTACAGACACCTTTATTGTGCTCTTTGCCATGTAGCATGTCTTGCGTCCATATAAAAAATTGTTCAGTTAAACTCTTGAGTCCCTGAACGTGAACTCTGTCGTCCTAGGAAAACTAGCATAACACAGAAAAATCATCTGCAGCATGCTGCGTCCTCAGAGCGGAGAGAGGACTCAAGTCCCTGAGCTGGAATATCTACTAATTGTGCTGTGTTTTTCTAACAGTTTCAAGGCCCAGTATATGCCAGAAATCTATTTCAACAACTCCTTCATTTACTATGTGAAACCTTCAATACAATATTCTCTCTCATCTTGGCTTTCTGACAATTCTAACCTTAGTTAGTCTTGGCTATTTTCTCCTCCTGCTTTAGGAAAAGCTAAAAAAAAAGCTTCTTTAACTGAAAAGGTATTTTCTGTAGGTGACCAGTAGCACTTAAGAATAAAAGGCAGCTCAACCTCTTTCTTGTTACAATGGCATTAAAATCCAACAAGAATTTAGTTAGCAATGAAAAGCTGAATCTGACAGCCCCAAACCCTCCAACAGCTACCAATGATTCTGTATGCTCTACTACATGTATGTTACCAGTAACTGACAATGCAGCACAAGAAATAATCTAATAGCAGGAACAGGAGCAAAAAGTTGGAACTACAGGTAGGTAAGAGAGTCCTCATAACTATTTACTTGTAATAATTATGAAACTTGACAGAGCACAATACCTATACAGATATTTTTCCTGTTTCTGAGAAAAGAACATATGCTGAGGGGGACTTAATACTGAAAAAGAACAAAGATCAGTACAAAAAATTTCTGTTATATAGGTGAGCTGCAACTGTGCCCACAAGTCTAGTGTACTTGAAAATGCAAAGCAAATGTTAAAAATTTGTAGTATCTCTTTACAGACCGAGAAATATCTGTAATGAGGTACATACAGGCATGAGGTTTCTATTAGTTCTTCACACACTGAGCATTTTTATATAGCTTGTCAGAGCAAAACAGCTTCTTTTCTGAACTAAGATTTCCTAAAACACCTTCCCCAGAAAACAGCAGAAGAGAAATAGGCTGCTAAACACAAGCTAGCATTAGAAGAATACTGGTGAACTTGATTCTTCATCTGTCTACAGTCCTCTTTATTGAATGACAACAGGATGAAGACTACTCTGACTATCCCACTGTGACCTTACAGATGAAATTCAGGATGCAAACATAGGAGAAAACACGAAAGACTTCCACCTTACAATTCAGAAATCTTTAGCAGCTTTTTCAGATGTTGAACTCTATTGAAAATTTTCAGCCATGCAATTCAAACATGTGACTATTCATACGCACATGCATATCTTGTGCACACATACATATATATACACCAAGACTCACTGCATTCCACAAGTTCTTGCTCATATATTTGAAACAAGGAAGTTTTCCCAATTGTAATGGTACACTTAGCTGATGAATCAGTGACCACATCTAACCACTCAACTTTACATGACTGTTACAGAAAATAATTAACGGCACTGGCAGAACCTCACCCCCTCTACTTCAGTTTGACTAAACACAAACCCAGAATCTCCACAGTATAGAAAGACATTGCAAAATTAACAAAAATGTAAATGAAAATTACTTTCTGCTTTTGCCTTTCAGCCATGTGAATCTGCGTTTCGGTCATGCGTTCCTGGTACTGCTGCTGGAGTCGATCGTGCTCCTGTAATAGAGTCTGCCAGAGCTCTATTGCTTGTTCTTTTTCCTAAGTTACGAAACAATGGTTTGTATAAAATATTCTATTATAGCACATTTGCCTTTATCTATCATTCTCTAAAAAGAGAAGTCTTTAACTTATATTTTGAAGAAATGCTATTTTCTGTACTTTTCTCTGCACGCACTACAACTACACAGACAAAATACCAAATTCAGATGCCGAAAAACAGATGCTTACAAGTTCAAATTCCACCTACAAGTAAGCTGCAAGTCTCCCAGATTTGTTTTATAGCTCAAACTGTTACAGGTATTTACTGTAAGTCTATAGCATATATAATATTCAAATACCAAAATTCAGCTGTCCATTTAACTTCAACTTAAACCATATGCAACAGGATTGCCACATCATTGTAATAAGCTAAAAAACTTTCGCTTATCTTTTCAGATTTAAATATTATCTTCTATATCCCACATATACTTGCCCCCTCGTATCACATTATAATCTTTCTGACTAAAATGACAAGCTACTACAAAAACTTGAATTGAACAAAATATTTCATTAATTTCCTGGTCAGGAATTCAATATAAAAATCAAGTCAATTAGTTAAAATTACAGGCTCAAATTAATATTACAAATTTCTTACATGAATCTAGGAAAGAAGTTATTTCAAGTCTTTAAGCTCAAAGTGTAAGTACTTATTTCTTCAGCTACAGAAAGTCAAGAGGACCTCAAACAGTCTCAAGATTCTGAACCAAGCAATAAAACAGCTTCCCCCTAGTCTGCCAAGGCACAAGAAGAGAAATAAGACAGTACAAATGTTTCATCTCACACACTTGATTGATCAGTTGTAGTTGTTCTTGAAGGTTTCTCACTATGCCTTCATCTGCAGGAATATCAGTTCCCAGAGGCATGAAAGGAAGAGCCTCCAGTTGCTTCTCAAGAGCCTCTTTCAACTCTGCATGCAGCCTGAAATTCAAAGTAGTAAGTTCAGCAAAGTTTTTCTTTAACAGGAATTTTTCTTTAAAAACTGAAGTATACTGTATTTTCAATCTGTACATATTACTTACTTCTAAGTCATATTTAAATCTATTACGTTCTACAAACACAACAGACAGTTTCAAAGAGTTTAATATCTAGTTCTTTTAGAAATGTGGTTAAACCTCCTGGTGCTGTAATCTATATTAAGCACTTAAAGACTCTAACATTAAACTCCTGAGTATGAAATCTTCAACTATTAAGTAGATTCAACAGATTTCGAGGTCCTAGTAAAAAGCTTTTTAAGGTTTAGAAATTAAGAAAAACAGCAGTACTAACAGGGCAGTGCAATTATTTACCTTTCATTTTCCTTGGTAACTTGTTCAAAGTTTAGTCTCATCTCACTCATTTGTGTCTAACAGAAAAACATGCAAGAGTAAGCACTCATTTCAGTGACAAACTTTGGTAATTCTTTCATCTTTTAATTCTGACTGATACTGTAAAAGATGGACACTAATTCAGCATAATACAGTACATGAAAGTAATTTTCTTTTTCAAGGAAAGTCACGGGATGCCACTTAAATTTAACAGCTGCGAAATCCTGGTATAGTCAAGCATTCAGAAGTTACTATGAGCATTAAACCTTTTAGAATTCTTATACCTCTTACAGATTGATTCTTAATTAATTCAAGTTATTTTAGGGATATATTGGACAACCCTCATCTTTTATGCAGTAAGCACTTGAGAAAAGAGTTTAGGAATTAACTAAGGAGAAACTGTAGCTACATGAATCAAATGGACTGTTGCACTATTTAGTTAACAAAACAAAACCATAGTGCTTCTATTGCCTTCTGAAGTCAGCCAAACTTGAAGACTGCATTTACAGAATCTTAATTTGTTTGATCTGTCCATCATAAAGTGCATTAAAACAAAACCAGAGTATAACTTCTGCATGTAGATCACAAGTAAAAACTGCTTTCTGTATGGCACAGGTTTTAATTATTAAATATATCACTTTGCTTTTCGGTGATCATATAAAGCATTAAAAAGGTTCATTTGTCTCTGGTTGAAAGGAGGACAGTCCCCCTCCACCTCAGCCTCCGTAACATTAAACATTTAAAGGATTATTTGAATCTGAAGAATTATTAAGAATGAAGAAGGCTGGGTGTATCCACACTTGCAGGACTGAGCTGGACTGCATGACCAAGATCAGACCTGTAAGGCAGGGGTGAAACAGCTGCCTCATCTGAATGTCACCTAGGAAAACACCTGCAACCATATTAGAACACTTAGAGAAATAAACCACGTTTCATTTCAAAACACTACTTTTCCAAACACACAGTAATCTCTGCAAATTAGACAATCTCCCAGTCTTTTCAGAGAAAGCTCTCCGTTCATCCATTTGAGGCAGACTGCAGTCCAGCAAGTTTATGAAGCATGGCACAGGCATACTTTCCTTTATTGACAAAAACTAACGGCCTAGATATTAATACTATAAAATACTAAGAATACACAGTCTGAAATGTTAGGAACATCCATACCTGATAAAGCTGCAGCTGTTCTCTCATTTCTTCCAAGTGTTTATCATACTCTGTGATTAGAGTTGACAAGCTAAAAAGTTGAAAAACATGCTTAGAATAAATTTTGTAAGTGCTGAAGCATTGTTCTGATAATTCACTAGTTTCACAGAATTCTTGATTTTAGAGAACAGGAAATAGTCACTTTATTTCCAAGCTTGACATTCACCAGAATCAAATGAACAAATTTAATTACTACTTTTAAAGTATGATCATTCAGAGATTTCCTTTATAACAGAACTAGAACATGGGACATTATAAATGAGCATTAATACAACGTCAATATTTCATCCATAGAATACCAAACGATTAAAGACTAGACTTGGTTACTGCTTTCACATACAACAGTAAAACGGCCTACAAGACAATGTAAAATAATGTAGTTCTACTTATATACTTTTTCCTTCCCAATATTTTTGTAATTGATCATAATTCTGTGAAAATTCTGTACAGGTCTGGAGTGATAATGCCTTAAAAGCTAACAAGAAAGGATAGGATATTTTTATAAGAGAAAGGGAATGACAATGATTACTGAACACTTTACTAACAGGCAACTGTTAGTTGAAGATTGTCAAACAGTTTATATTTTTAAAAACCTCCACCTGACCTCAACAGACAGCAGTTACCTGTGTTACCTAGATCAGTACAATCTTAACTGCACTTTTGTTCATTACCCTAAAATTTAGACTATACAATGCCTTTATTCATCTCTTCTCCTTTATTTTACAGATTGTGCAAGAAAAGTCATACATTTGATTTACCGAATAAACAGAATAGTATCTAAAACCAACTGCTACAGAACACTTTTGTAGACCTCCACTCACAAGTCCTCAGAGCTGTGAACACATGTACGCAAGACCAGGTTCACCTGGACATTTACACTTTCAAAAGCACATGACAAATTCTTTTGAATACTTCGTACTATTCCCACTTATCATTTGGAATCAGTTACCTTTGGTCCATCATCCTGGATCCTGATACACCATCACCACCAGGGAGATTTTTCTGTAATGGTACACTTTTACACATTAGTACTTGCACATGGCTGCATGCAGTTTTAAATCTTTATATGCAACCCAGAGCTGTTGTTCTGCCTGTACTGTAATCATACACAATATCCCACGTGATCACTTCCAGGTTTAGGTTCATAAATACTTGAGTGCTGGCCCAATTTGAAAAAATTGTGATTTATTTTAACTGGAGATGCTCTGACACAAAGCATAATTGCATCTGAGGGGGAATCATCTCAATCTTAAAAGAACAGTCACAAGTTTGTGTAAGTGCCAAGTTCATTTCCATGCATCTCAGCATCAGGAAAGTGCTCATGACCTAGCTTCTGCACAGACTTTCACATAGGCTTATGGTAGCTAGCACAAAAAGTTCTCTTCACATGAGACCAACCTCTTAGAAAAGCGAAGTCTGTAAAAGTGTAGAAGTCTACTACAGTAGAAAACAAGTATTCTTTCAGGGATCTATTCTTCTGCATAAGATAAACTTTAGAAAATGTACCAAAAATACCAGTTTTATTCTGCTGATGATTGGAAAAACAACATGCCACTCTAGACAGACCCAAAACAAGGCCAGGCCACATTGAAGTGGGCTGTGCTCTACGTCTGCAAAGATGTTTGTCTCAAAACCTCATCACAAAAATTCTTACTACTTCCATCCCTGAGCTGACATACCTGCTCAGCAGTAGCTCTCAAAATCTCATCTGTTTCATACCGTCCAAGTGACACATTTAGCCTCTGATCTGAAAAGTACAAAGTTTGAGAATCATAGCTATAACACAAGCCATTATCTACATAAACCTGACTGGCAGTTGGAAATATGTTTAACAGTGTGGTGCTTTGAAGGCACACAACGTGCTTCATATAATTCTTCCATTTAGCACAATTATTTAAATGAAAATAGAACTTGAAAAAGCCTACAAAGACTGTGTACTAATAATGAATTCAATTTCTTTCATATTCCTCCTGTTTTCTTTTACAGATTCAAAAAAATGAAGTTTCTGCCTAGAAAACCCACAAACACATACGTATCTTAACAATTCACAGGGAGGTCTAAGTGCAACAAATCACATTTTGTGTCCAATTCAATTAGCTGGATGTTTGACAATTAACCTGTTGTTGAGAACTCAACCCTGCAGTTCTCAATCAGCATTAAACAAACTTAAGTCAAGAGTTTCACTGATAAATGGATGCGAGTACATCCAGAAGAAACCCAAACAAGAACGAAGACATGCAGTCTGTCTGTATCTGCTTTTTCTGAAAGAAGCAAAGCATAACGAGCAATGAGACTTCACACTGTTGAGCTGGGAACATCAACTAATACATCACTCTTCCCTATTCGTCTAACTTTGGCTACTGGGATTTCAGAAAATACTTGTATTACAAATGAAACCAGCAGAAGGCTGGAAAGGAGAACTAACAGCTCTTTCCACTTGATCACGGAGTGTTCTTTGATCTAACAAAAACATAGTACAGCCAGCCAGTCAAATGACATGATTGTCCCGCTGTATTCAGTGTTGGTGTGACCTGCTTGCAGTTCTGGGGCCCATAATTTAAGAACGATGTGAAGGTCCTTGAATGTGAAAAGGATGATGAGGGGCGACCTTACTGCTCTCCACAGCCTTCTGACAAGGGGAAGTGGAGAGGGAGCTGCTGATCTCTTCTCCCTGGGATCCAGTGACAGGATGCGTGGGGATGGTTCAAAGCTGGATTAGGGGAGGTTTAGACTGGACATTGGGAAGCATTTCTTATACTGAGAGGGTGGTCAAATTCTTGAACAGGCTTCCTAGAGAGGTGGTCAATGCCCCAAGCCTGTCAGTGTTTAAGAGACATTTGGGCAATGCCCTTAACAACTTGCTTTAACTTTTGGTTAGCCCTGAATTGGTCAGGCAGTTGGACTAGATGATTGCTGTAGGTCCCTTTTGACTGAAATACTCTGTTCTAAAAGAATCTGAGTAACACCTTTGCAACTGGAATGGGTAAAGAGGAAGAAAAAGGAAGTCAGGAAGGTAATGCACACATTTCAATTTAAAACAACTTCTCAGCCTATTTTTCTTGATACACATCCCATGGTTATTTTTCTGGTTCTAATCTTCTAAAGGAAGATACAGGAAAAAACCAGAGGGAACAGAAAGGAGGTAACAGTAAAACCACATCAAGGAACAGGAAGTGGAAAGTAGCCACCCTGACCAGCCAAAGCAGTCTTCAAACATGAGAGGCCATAGGTGCAAAAGAGGACAAACCTTAAACACCCCTTACAGAGGTACTGACCTTCAACAGTAAATCATACAATACATTCTGACAAAAGTTCTATGTATTTAGTAGCTTATCACAAAAATATGTAATGGAATGGATGAATTATTATTTGTAGGGTTGGCTGCTGATACTGCAAAAACCATTCAGGCAGAACTCAACTTATAACTGATCAGTGCCAGAGACTAGCATTTCATTCCGAGAACCTTCTTTACAGCTACATATTTAACACAACAAATACTTATTCTACAAAGCTAAATATAATAGTGCGTAGAGGATCTGGTTTTATGTGTATTGCACACATTCATCATTTTAGAACTTTGGTTTCACACTCACGAAACATGAGAAACAGCAATCCATATATCAGACAGAGCAGGCCTCAAATAACTTATGTCTCAGTTGGCATGCAAGCCAACTTCAAACTTGTCATTTGGCACTTTTCAAAGTATATGAAGTTTTTTAAAGAGAGAATTAAACTCCTTGACAGAAAAGGCAACTCTTACCACTTCACAGTAAATTTAGTATGAGCTCTATTTAGAGCCTAAACATTTACAAAATAAGAAGCTACACCCAGACAAATTAAATACATATGAAAAAGCAAAATATCAGCATTTGAAAATCCATGATTTGTTCAGATCACAGTATAATAAATACTCATGCAAAGCTTGCTAAAGACATGGGCTTTTGAGCCGGGATGACTCTGTTGGCTCAGACCTTTTCTGCTTTCTACTACTAACGTCCTTGAAATCAAGATCTGGTCTTTCACTTTTGGCCACCCAAAGCTGTCATACAAAGTTTAGTATCAATTGTAGTTTTGATTATTGAATGATGCACAGCCATAGCACTTTATGCACTGTGATCTTGTCCTACCTTCTGCCATGCTATCAAATTTTCCTGCAACTCTAATTAGTGATAGGGCCAGTAACATTATTCGGACAACACATCAATCCATTCCCTAGTTATAGAAGTATAAACTGTGCAGAAGCAATTTTTGCTGGTAAGTAATTCAAGCACACCCTGATTCAGTTATACTAAGCTTACACTATCAAAATTGTAACAAATAACACATAATCAAAAATACTGATTTTAGTCTGTAAAGCAAATTTTATGGGTAACTGGCAAGACAGCTTTTTTGCCTTTTAGATATAAGCCAGGCATAGGAAATGCAGTAGTTTCTTAACTAGAGAAAAGAGCCATTATCAGAAAAAAAATGCATGCGTGTTTGGCTGTTACCCTCATTAGCAGCTTTTAATTACAGCTAACCAGAAAACAGTTTTGATGCTATTCACTACAGCAAACACTGGAAGAGCTACAGAACAGAAACCTTTATTGCCACTACCACGGGCAAAAGGGTTTCTCTCCTCTGTAGAACCCGACCCGAGCTCCCGAGAGGCAGCGTCCAGGCCCCGGCTCCTCTGCTCCCCCCCTCAGAGCCCCGGGGCCGTGCCGGGAGCAGGCGGGCAGCCCACGAAGCCGACCGCTCGCGGAGACCTCACCTGGCTCTCCCCCTCTGCCGAGCTCAGTGGCCATATTTCCAGCGGAAAGCTTCACCGCCGCGGAGGGTGGTCCC